TGCGCAGAGCCTAGACACAGATGATGATGGGAGTCCAGTGCATGCTGGGACTTCTCACTGGAGTGGGTCCCATTCAAACATTGTGGGATTGCACTATACAGACCCTAAAAAGAAGGATAAAGGTAAAGGTCAGTGAGTATTTGCAGCTTGGGTGTTGGGAAGCTGGAGAGCACAGCTGCTGGTTTTTAATGTAATGTTTTTGCTTTGACAGAAGAGGTGAAGGATTTATGTTCTTTGTTTATTAGTGAAACATAGTCTGGCTGGGGAAAAAGTGCTTTTTGCATTTGTAAGATGCTACAACTAACAGAAAAGTTATATGGACCCACGTGTTTTGCAGGGTTTTTTAACCTTTTGCTATTATTATCTATTTCCTCCTGCAGATAAAGGTACTAATAATGGAATGTGCAGAGACTTATGCGATTCACCTATATTCAGTGACAGCCCTACAGAAGAGGAGAAACCTCTAGATATTCAAACTGTAGAAATTTCTACAACAGAAGTGAATGCTGTAGAGGTTCACGATATAGAAACACAGACTGTGTCACCTGAGAAGCTAGAAGCTGAGGACCTAGAGGAAATCCCTCTGGAAACCTGTAAAATCTTTGAGAAGAACCAGGCTTTGAATATCACAGCTCAACAGAAATGGCCTTTGCTGAGAGCCAACAGCAGTGGCTTATACAAGTGTGAGCTTTGTGAGTTTAATAGCAAGTACTTTTCTGATCTAAAGCAGCACATGATCCTGAAGCATAAGACGTGTACAGACACTCATGTCTGTAAAGTTTGTAAGGAAAGCTTCTCCAGTAAAGTGCAACTCATTGAACATGTAAAGCTACATGAGGAGGACCCCTACATCTGTAAATACTGCGATTACAAAACAGTGATATTTGAGAATCTGAGTCAGCACATAGCAGACACTCACTTCAATGACCACCTTTACTGGTGCGAGCAGTGTGATATGCAGTTCTCCTCGAGCAGTGAGTTGTACCTGCACTTCCAGGAACACAGCTGTGATGAGCAGTATTTGTGTCAGTTCTGTGAGCATGAAACAAATGATCCAGAAGATCTGCATAGCCATGTGGTGAACGAACACGCATGTCGGCTGATCGAGTTAAGCGACAGCTATAACAACAAGGAGCGTGGGCAGTACAGTCTCATAAACAAAATCAGTTTTGACAAATGCAAAAACTTCTTTGTATGCCAAGTGTGTGGCTTTAGGAGCAGGCTGCATACAAATGTCAACAGGCACGTAGCTATTGAACATACCAAAATATTCCCTCATGTTTGTGATGACTGTGGGAAGGGCTTTTCAGGTATGTTAGAATATTGCAAGCATTTAAGCTCTCATTTATCTGAAGGGATTTATTTGTGTCAATACTGTGAATATTCAACAGGACAGATTGAAGACCTTAAAACTCACTTGGATTTCAGGCATTCAGCAGATTTGCCTCATAAGTGTACTGATTGTTTAATGAGGTTTGGAAATGAAAAAGATCTTTTAAGTCATCTTCAGATACATGAGACAGCGTGATTACTTTCTTCCTCTGTAATCAATTTATTAGAACTGGAATTAATTTCCAGTCACTGAAATGTGACATTAAATACATTTTTAACAGAAATTGTACAATTCTAATGTTTTTATCTTTGTATCAGCAAAGCATGTATAACAACTTGGTGTTGTGAATTTCCTTACCTGGGGATTTCAGTAGGAATAATTGCATTTCCAGTGTGATGGAACAGTTTGGGGGGAGGGACACTGGGAGTAGTTGCATGTTGTGATAGCAGTTCTGTTGGTCATCCTGCACTTTCACATCTCATGTACAAGACCAGCTCTCAAGTTTAAAAAGGGACAAAGAGAAAGAAAGCCAGCCTAAGCAACGCCATACTGATCTCAGTTGGGCATCCAGCTCATGTTACTCTCTGCGGCAGCAAGTCATCATGCTGATGTTTAGCAAATTGCACCAGCCTGATGAAGATAAGAGTTCCAAAAATTCCCAGGCATGGACATCTCCAAATTCACATACCAGCCCACATTTCCCACCTCGTACCCTTGATAAGCTTTTAAAATTGTTTCTGTTTTTCTCTTGGGGTACGTATCCAACCTCATCGTTCACTTTGTTCACAACTCCTGTCTGTGGCACTATCCAACAATCATCTCTTTCACACGTTCACTACAGACCTCACACATTGTTTTTGTCTGTCTTTTATTTAACTTCAGTTCCTAGCTTTTAATGCACCAAGGGGACACACATTACTTGCATGTAGATTGGGTCATGTTTTAAGGAGTAATTTTAAGGGAATTTGCAAAGTGATCCAGCTGAGAATGTACAAAGTGTAATTTTTCTTATCTAAAATCCTAATTTAGCTCTCATTGAAATGATATATGTCACCAACCTCATTTAAAGCAAGCCTCTATTAGTCTCTAATTATATTATTGTAATTATGTATAATTAGCTTTCCACTGCTAGTAATTTGAGGACTGTTATTTTAATTCTGTTAATTTTAAACCTCCTATATACTGGCTTAAAACACTGGTACAGTACAAAAATATTGCTAACTTTAATGACTTCCAAATGATTTCACACATCTGTTCAGATTAGATAGTGCTGTCCTGCCATTATAATAATTAGAAGTTAATTTTTACAATTCATTCTGTAGCTGTATTTCTGAGTGGATAGTTGGACAGATAAAAATAAGGGTGAGGTCACTGAGGTTGTATTAGTTATCATGACGAAATTGCCCATAAATTAGTGGTGGAGTTCTCATTTCTTTCTGCATTGATTGTAAATTTGTAATGTAAGATTGTCTAGTGCAAGCTTTGTATAGTTCTAATTAATGTACAAAACATTTCTTGATCAGTGAGATTTGGTGTTACCAGCTTCAAGGCATGCAAGGGTCATTGCATTTGATTTTTAAAGCAAAGGATAAAAATTGTCTGAATATAGTCAGTTTATGGAAGTTCCAGTTTCTAGAGAAGTATTTCTGGGAAGTCTGCTATGAGCCAGCATATATTTCTTTGTAGGAGACGAGACCATTTTTGTCATTTTGAAATGATTTACTACTAAAACTTCTGTGTAGTCATTGGAAAGGGTAACCTGATGGTGTCCTGACTGTATTTTATTAGTCCTTTATGTGGAGAATGACGATGTCTGTGGTAGAACTGCTGATTTCCTATTTTGAACACACTCATCCCAACTGGCTTAAAATGGCAGCAATAATATAGTTAACAAAGCAATAATAAGAATTTCTTTATATATGGAAAGTTAATATGGGTATAACAGAGCGGGGGGGGGAATGCTAGTTCTCTTTAGACCCTGCTCTTGGTGGCAACACACAAGTGGAATGGCACAGTTAAGCTCTGGAGAGAAAGGCACTCCAGGACACAGTGACCAGAAGAGGGAAAAAGACTTTTTTTTTAAAAAAAAAAAAAAAAGGGCTTAAGAAGTATGTGTGTTTGTGTAGACCAGCATTGTGTCCTGTACAGGAAGGGTGGTCTCTTGTAAAAGCACAGAGCCCTGTGATATGAAAGCTTGCTTGTTGACTCCTGAATAACTTCATGTCTGTCTTTGAGTTGTGGTATTTCTAATCTCTACACTGGAAATTAAAAGAATACCCCATAGGGATGTCACGAAGCCAGATTGTTCCTAGATAAAACACACCCCATGGTGTCTAATTAGGAAATATATTTAAGTTTGTCCTAGGTTGGATTTTATTTATAAAGGACTAATGTTAGTATTTTCTTTTTTAATATGTATCAGGAAGTAAATGGAGATGTACAGGAGTAGCTCATCTCATTTTACCTTAGCAGGAATACAAGTAGGGTATCGGCTTCCACATGATCAGTGTGCTAAAATGAGAAAGATAACTAGTAGTAGAAAAAATAGGTAATGAGTGGAGTCTGTCTAGAAGGTGAAAGACTGAAAGGAATGACTGTACGTGCCAATGACAGTATGTTGTTCCCATCAAAGGGAAGACAAGAGTTTGGTTTATTTATGTGAAGCGTGTAAGCAGAAGGTCAGTGCTCTGACATTGCTGCACCGACGTGAACTGAGCCCATGTGCATGGAGCTGGTCTGATACTGCCAGAGACTTTGGTCGTTAGTGCTATAGCTTGAGCGATTCATCCCCGTCTGAAATGAGGGAAGTTAACTGTAGTAATCAGAAGTATGCCAGTATTTCTTTTTTTCTTCGGAGACACTCAGTGTATCAAATTCAGTTGTTACCTGCAAGGTTCATCTACTTCAAGAACAGCATTCAAACTAGAAGTTACACAAAATCACAAGATTGGCTTTGGAAGTATTTTGTATTTGGAAGTAATTTGTATTTGATTTTTTGTTTTTCAGACTTTTGTCTGTAGATGTGTATTGTGTATTTTAGCTTCATGGATCATGTTTCTTAATGAACAAACTAACATTTTTATATAAAAGATTATGACTTCAGAACAAAATCTAAATCCCACAATTATTGCAAGAACTTAAAATACAGCAAATCAGTAATTCTCAAATAATGTGTTCTTTATAATGCTTATTGTTGGTTTTTGTTGTGGTTGTTTTCATTTTCTTACGCTCCTATATCAAATGTAGAGATTATCAGTGCTTTTTAACTCTTGAAACAATTTAGCACTTGTCATTTTAGCTGACTTTGATTAAACCATGGTGCTGACAGTACGCAGGCATCCAAGGTCATGTTTCTTTGTCTGTGTTTTAGATACCGTGAAACAGCTGAAGGGCTCAGGGGCCGAGTTTATCATTCCAGGGGCAGCGGGGCAGCCGCCTTCCACCTCCCGCGGCCTGCAGCCTCCCGCTGCCCTCCGCACTGCCC